AGCAGTTCGAGTTCGCCATGGCTGCACAGACCACCCACCAGTCTCAGCCGCTCCTTGTTGATGATCTAAACACGCCCACAGATGTTAACTAATTTTAATTAATTGAAGCTAGAGCATGCTGTGATGTGTTGTGATTATCTTAATCATCATGTTAATGCCTCTCCACGTCAACTAATTAATTACAGATTAAGCATGCATGGTTTGGACTTTTGAATTTCTGAGGAGGTGGGGTGGGGTGATGATCATGTCAAGATCAGTTCATGATGAATTTTTATTGATGGAAATTGATTAGGGTGCGTGGAGTGACATTAGTGGAGCTTAGAATATTCATACTGAATCATTTTCGCAGTCTTTGCTATATTAAATTGGCCACCAGCACAACAAGGTGTTAGGATTGTTTTTGCAGAAATTAAGAAAGCCCAAGGGTTGATTTGGATGTAAGGATACAAGATTATGGATTTGATTATGAGTTTTTAGTGTAAAAATTACTTAATCGAATTTCGGAATATTTTAAACTTTACCTTACATGAAGGTCTTGTTTGAAGAACAGCCTTGGGCTTACTAGGGCATTCCTTCACACCCAAAATTTGTCTATGGACACCGATTTCTTTAAACGCCTATCCTAAAATTGAAATGTTTTGAACTCATCTCCAAATACCCTTTTTTTTTTTTGGGCTTTTTTTTTGGGCTGCTTATGTTCAAATTAAAAATTATTTGTGTTTTACAAGGACTTGTAGTTTAAATGATTACATCCGAAGTCTTAGATTCGATTTCACATTTCTCAATAACGTTTACGTCTCTATTAATCTTTTGTTTTTTTGGTCAAAATCTAATCTATAACACAATTATTGAACATAAAAAAGTGGATAAGTCCTGCAGCGTCAGCCTTGTGCAGACCCTGATCTGATGGATAAACGGAACCTTTTGTGTAACTGTAATGCGATTGATTGGTCCTGCAATTTGCATATGCACAATAGAATAATATTTTTCCATTTTCTAAACCAAAAAAAATAACATAAATTAAAGAATAATGAAATTGTACGCAGTTTTAAGGCGTCACCACCACCACCCCACCAAATCCAGCACCCACTCTGTGCCCAACACATGTTCTTCATTCATGGGCTCCCACTTTGGTCGCTGCTCAGATCCGTCAGGTCAGAACGTGCATCGTCTTATAGCCACCCACCCATGCTAAAGTTACCAAACTGACCAGCCTCAGCCAAGAAAAATCAACAATAATCCTTTTGACTTAGTTTTGTCAGAAGAGGATAAATGCGAGAAATTCGCGAGTTCAACCGTAATACTGTGCCATGTGATATTATTAATTCATTTATTTTTTAATAATATATTTTGGATACAAACGATATTTTATTTTAATTTATATATACTAGCTTCTTGGCACATGCTCACGCACGTGCCAATTGGTTTTATTTTTTATTTTATTTTTAAAATTAAGAAAAGATGACATAGGTAGTTATGTTCCATAAAAGTAGGATCTATTATCTGATTTTGTTTTTAATTTTAATTTTTATATATATGAAAAATGTGAATTTACCATATTATCCCAATTTAATTAATAATTTCAATTATTAATGTTTGCATGAACTAAAAACATTTTTTGGTATTTTGAATGTTTCACCATTCTCTGCCTTTTGCTTTATATATATAGATAAAGTAAAAGGCTGTGAAACATTCAAAATACCAAAAAATGTTTTTAGTTCATGCAAACATTAATAATTGAAATTATTAATTAAATTGGGATAATATGGTAAATTCATACTTTTTCATATTTAAAAATATTTAAAATAAAAGAAAAATAAGATAATGGATCCTATTTTTATGGAACATAACTACCCATTATCTTTTTTAATTCTAAAATAATTTTTTTTTTTTTAAAGACTCTCACATGCGCGAAAGCGCGTGTGAAGAAGCTAGTCTAATCTAAATTATCAAATGAGGAATTTGAATTCATATACAAAATGGGGAATACATTCGTTCTAGCCAATTTGATTAAGTTCATATTTTATTAATGGTATATTTACTTACACATAATATGAGGTACGATGAGTATTAGAATTATTTCCATTAATAATTTCTCATGCGTTTTAAAAAGTATATAGATTTCACATCATAATATGTAATTCAATACCTGAACAATCATGAATTAAATTAATTAGAAGATTCAGTTCATCGAATTCCAATTCATTTCCTCTTCCACCATTTATAACTTCCCTCATTTGAAGTAAATAAACAAACAACCGTCATACTATATTGTAAATTCAACCCAAATATAACACGTGAATCACGTCATAATGTGATAATCACACTAGGTGATTAGGTTGGAGTAAGTGATGGGTTAGAGAGAAGGGATAAGAGCAAGTCACTTCTTCATGTATATAGCGCTGGCGACCACATTACATCAATTACTTTTTTCTTTTTCTTTTTTGGGTTCATCAAATACGTCAACTAATTTTGGATTTTGTTGTTCCGGCAAACAAATAGAACAATCTGTTAAAACAGATAAACTAATACAACTACTGCTAAGTATTAGGTATTAGTAACAAATCCAATTATTTAACGGGCAGTGCAGTGAGAGAGAGCATCGAAACAGGCTTGTGAAGTTAGTCTTCTTTCTTCAACATCCATCACCTACCCTCAGTTTGAGCCTTGAGGGAGAAAAAAAATATATATAATTTTCTTGTCTTCAGATGGAAAGGTCGTCTCTCTCTGTAATCAGAAACCAGAATCTATGGTGCGCTTAGGTTGTCTGATCAACTCTCTCCTCTGCCCCTTTCCCGTCAACGTCAAATTGGCAAATTGGTAATTTTACATAAATGGGTTATCCATTTTTTTTTCTTGAGGTCGAAAATGAATTGAATTATCCTTATGAATATGAAATTTGATGTGATTTGGGAAATTGGGATTGAAATTGAAATGCTTTTTATGTGACTTACTGACAGAACTGACAGAAATTATCCGTTATCCTCGAAATCAATCAAAATTATCCGAAACAGAAAGCAAGACGGATCCGCCGGTGGAGCCAAGGAAGGGCCCCGACTGTATGGTGGGGTTGGAGTGCTTTCTGGACGTCGTCAGGGCACTCGGCATGGGCTCCTGCCTCTCCCTGGAAAGTGGGTCAGCCTACGGCCCAGTCCCTTCCTCCCCAGGGCCGGGCAACAAGAGGAGGAAGAGGAGGGTGACTGGGAACTCCTCTGCCACGGCGGTAGCGCCGCCTTCCAATAATCTGGAGATGTGGCTGCACAGAATCCCTGGCAGGCAGTTCCTGAATGGTTCCTCTGATTTTGCTTCCTTGTTCTGCAAGCAAGGCAAGAAAGGGGTCAATCAGGACGCCATGATTGCTTGGGAGGTAATTTGCTTTCTCTCTGCAACTTCAACTTTTACTCAGTTTTCTCTCTCTCTCTCTCTCTCTCTCTCTCTCTCTATATATATATATATATATATATGGAAATTGAATCTGGATTATTGAGTAGTACAATACTAAAGAATTTGTGGTGTTTTACAGAATTTTGGTTCCCCGGATACCATATTTTGTGGTGTTTTTGATGGGCATGGCCCTTTTGGCCATGTGGTTGCAAAGAAGGTGAGGGATGCTCTACCTTTGAAGTTGACTTCACAATGGGTATTGACTAATAACGCCAAGAAAGGGGCTGCTGATGATACCAACGAGACTGCTTCATATCAAGACCACAAGGATAACGACCACTGTGAGCTTTTTATGACATTGAAAGATTCTTTTCTGAAGGCTTTTAAGGTCATGGACAAGGAGCTCAAATTGCATCCTCGTATTGATTGCTATTGCAGTGGGACAACTGCTGTTACCTTGGTCAAGCAGGTAGTTCATTTGCATCACAAATTCATTGTTCTTGGTGAACACTTACAAAGAGTCTTAATCTAATAAAGTTGCAGTACTTGTATGAAATGTGGACACTTGAGATTTACAGTGGGTCAATATCTGATGCAAGAGCTGCGATGCTATTAGTTAAGTTTTGGTACATCGAGATTGCACCTGTAAATTTGTCTTAAATACATATTGCTGTTTACAGGGCCAGGATCTTGTTATTGCAAATGTTGGGGACTCTAGAGCTCTACTAGGCACCAGAGATGAAGATGGCTCCCTCGTTGCTGTTCAGTTGACTGTAGACCTCAAACCAAATCTTCCAAGTAGCTTTCTTTCTCCCACTCTTTCTAATCCATGGTTAAAGTTCAAAGATATGAAGATTCCAACTTTACAGAAAATACACAGCATTTGGTTACTACTTGTCTTAGAAACAAATGCATAGTTCAGACTTAATATCAATCTCATTCTTTTTTATATTGATAATGAACTTTTTAAATTTTTACAATAGAATCCAGCTGAGGATTTCTATCTTTGATAGTATCTAGAAATCAGGAGCAGTGCCCCATTGATAGCTTATGTTCCTTATGATAATTTATTGTTACAGCTGGCACACTAAATAAAATAGCTGTCGCTACTAATACTATGAAATTTACGTCATTTAGGATTTAAGACCAAATAGTAGTGCTGTGAAAACTTCTGTAAATAGGATTTGATTAATGTGATGCTTAGTGAGGTAAAGAAATCCAAGGCTGAAAATCCTCAGCTGCATAGTGCTTTAAAAGGTTTTTTCTCTGCAATGGACTAGGTTCAAATGGAGATCTTCTCATTATTTGTATAATTGATGCAATATGTCCTAGTAGATGTTGTATAATCTCAATAACATAGCATGTTTTCTCTATTTCTTGATCTTGGATTGCAAGTTTGTTTTAACATTGGGTGCATGGATATATAGATGCTTTTTTGTTTAAATTGATCTGAAAGTAAGTTCACATGCAGACATGCACGCTTGCAGCACCCATCTACACACACGTGTTGATGCATACGCACTTTAATCTGGTCTTATAGTAGTTGAGAATACGGATTGTTCTTTATTATGCAGTTAGGAATCTTGGTTGAATAATACGGGATGATTAATCTTATTTTTTAACACAATTATTTTATGCATCTAGGGGAAACAGAGAGGATTATGCGGTGTAAAGGACGAGTATTTGCTCTCCAAAACGAGCCTGAGGTCGCTCGAGTTTGGTTGCCCAACAGTAATTCACCTGGCCTTGCCATGGCACGGGCTTTTGGAGATTTCTGCCTAAAGGACTTTGGTTTAATCTCTGTCCCCGATATTTCTTATCGTCGCCTCACTGAGAAGGATGAATTTGTAGTATTGGCTACTGATGGGGTAAGAAATCTACTTGTTTATATAATATGATTTACAGCTTCTTGTTATGATGCAAATTTTCCTGCATTTTTCTTTTGTCTGGGGGGCGGTATAGAAAGAGTCAGTTACTCAATGCCGGCAGCCACCTAAAGCCCTAATTTTTTTTTCCAAAATAGAGGTAGCTAACTAAGTTCCTGTAGTGGTTGGGAGCCACTTAATAACGTCCCTTCAAGTTGAGTTGGCGTAGAGTAACTGATATCCATTTGGCCCCTTGAGTTAGCAGGGGATCATACATCATAACCAACAGTCTCTTTGCGCAATTGTGCGGACCTTGGCATCTGTAGACAGTTCGGAGTCATGATCACTCTAGGATTTCAGTTGAGTGTAATGGGATCTCACCACCTCGGGTATGCCAATGATGTGCTGTGCTAAGGAGTCATGGCACTGTTCTTAGCTTTAGCAACTTCCTCTAAACCTGAGGAGTACTCTCCTATAAGCTACACCGTTCAGATGGTACTCCTTAATCCACCAGCCAAGATATATCATCATCTTTGACTGGCTTCCATGAGTGCCTAAGCATAAAAAAAGCCTTGTTCCAGAGATGACATTTGATCCCTAAATACCCTTAATTTTCCTTTTTAGGACATCAAACATCAACCGAGCAATCTTAGCTCCCCTACTTCTCCTAGTTCTTGCATCCTTGAGGAAAAAGCCCACAAATCTCCATTTACAAAGATGGAGAATGTTTGGATCGAGATGCAAACTCTCGTCAATTAACCATAAGCAGCAAGAGACTTGAAAGCTGTAAAAGTATAAAAAATGATACTCAATCTACCATTCCATCTGGCCTTCATCAGATCAACCCGTCCTTCTCCCAACAACAAAGGCATTTTTATTAGGGCTGGTAAGGTTGAAGAGCATCTGCTTCACTCTATTAACAATGAACTTAGCAATTAGGTAACAATGTTACTGAATAGGAGAGAGGTGTTTGACATGTGCAAGTCATGCACATAGGGGGTTTGGGAGCAAGAGTGGTGGCAATGATGCCCATAAGAAGACAGGATCATGTGTCTGAAATCCAAATGGAAGATTGTTTATGAGTTTCCAAATGCGGTGGAAGCACCATGGACATGGTTTAGGCTTGAATTGAGTCTTTTATATCACTAGTCTGAAAAGTGTGTGTGGTTCTTTATGTGTAATCAAGAGGATTAAGAAAATTCCCGACTAAAAAAAATTATTTGAAAGAGGAAAGGTTCCTTGTGTGAGTTAATAAAGGTTAGGAAAATTTTGAATGAGGAAAAACAAGACAGAGGAGAAAAGGCTTTATCTTGACCTAATATCGAGTCGGGAACAGGGAGCACACTAGAGAGAAACAGAAAGGAACTATGGTTTGTTTGTTTGTTTATGAGAATATGCACGGATATTTGTGCAGGATCTAAGTATGCGGAAAGGAACTATGGTTGTTTCTTTGTTGCCGAGTGTATTCGTTACTCATCTTCCGTATGGACGTATTGTGTCAAGCTGTCAATTCTGTGAAGAAAATGGAATTGTAAAAAAATTTCTTTTTATACATTTATCTTTTGTTTCCCACTTTTTTCCTTGCAAATTAAGAAAATTATGACCTTTGTATGTGTACATAATCTCTGTAATGCTCCTGCTTAACCTCATCTATTGCAGTCCTGATCTGGCTTAAATTGTATCGTTTGCGTAGTTAATCTTCCACTTCTCTATGCCTTTTTATGTGTCTCTTTGAATGAAAGTATCATGGTCCTGGTCTGGTAAACATGATAATCCAAAACTTTGAAAGGCCTTGACGTTGTTAATGTACTTCATGTGAGTTTGAGGACAGAAGTGCAGTTTATTTATCCACTTCTGGAGATTTCTTCATAATTGTTACCAAGCCTTATTCAAAATTCAATTGGATGTAAAGATCTCTTGTGGATTGTGAGAATGGATTAACTAGAAAGACCATACAAATCCAAATTGACGTCATAGATTTAGAGTATTCAGCTTCACATAATGCACATGAAAGATTATCATGGGACAGATTGTTTAGCATTGGCTTATATAAATTTACTTTCTGGCAGATATGGGATGTCCTCTCAAATGAAGAAGTGGTAAAAATAGTAGCATTAGCTCCACGAGCCTCTGCTGCTCGAGCCCTGGTAGAGTCAGCAACTCGAGCTTGGAGGTCAAAATACCCATATGTCAAGGTTGATGATTGTGCTGTGGTTTGCCTCTTCCTCACTGCCAGTACATCTGACATTAGTTCCGATTTCTCACCAACCGGAGAGGAAATGAGCTCTGGAAATTCTTCCCAATATCAGGATGGGAGCTAGTATTAAGAAACATCAGAAGCAGTGGCATATACTTTTATGACTTGCCCTGAGCCTTGTTGATTGTAGGGTCATTAGTTTTGTTATCATTGTCTATATTTCTTTTCCTTCTTATCACCATTTTATTGATTTTTATTTTTTTATAAAATCTTGGAAAAAGGTTTGAGAGTTTCATTTAGATTGGTTGGAAGAGAGACGTGTTATTTCCTTGTCTCTCTTTAGCAGTGTCGATTGGAGTTTTTGTAAATACATGTCTTGAAGCCTTCTTGTTCTTCATTACAAAGGCTACCCTGATTTTATACGTTGGTGGGTGGTTGGAAATTTTATCCATGAGTTGTTCTTATATTTCTGCATTTAACTTCTTTGGTGTTTTGGTTTTTTCTTGTAATTCCAATATATCTTTTCTTCTCCGGTCGCCTTACCTCTGATTTCTAATTGCTGATTTTTTGTTTGTAGAGGATTTTAATAGATTGTAATAACATGATTTTAATGCAATGGATTTCAACAGGATTTGTAATTACAAGATTTTACTTATGATTTTAATAGATTGTAATTACATGATTCTCTTATGATTCATTTAGGACTCTTTTATATTCTCCAAAGAATCAAAAGATTTGCACTAGGATTTCATATGAAATAAAAATTATATAATAACATGGATTAATTGTTTGGTATGCAAACTCTTGATTATTTTTCATGTTCTAGGGCCCAAAGGATTATTTTTCATAAACTTTCATAAATAAACTTTCATGTTGTGTAGTCTCGGTGGTTCTATGACCTCTCTTTGGTCTTTATTAATGAAAGTTCATCTTTATAAAAAATAAAAAATAAAAATCGTAGCACAGCAGTCCTTTTCTCCCAAGGGAACTAGAAGACCCAAACACTATGCATTGAAACCAAGAAATAAAGCACCCTAAAGGAAGGAAATTTCCTAGTGATGAACTTCTTCTAGTCATTCCACCGTAAACTATTTATTAGTATTATATAACAAGAAAGATAAGAAAGACTAGTTTAGATCAAAACAAGTCTCTATAGTTATTTGAATAGTTATTCTCCAGTTTTTACAAAAGTAATAAAATATCATTTTATAAAATAATAAATAAATAAAGAAAAATCATTCCTAAAGAATGATGGAGTGCGCAACAAACCAAAAACACCAACTATCTTTACAGATTGGTTTCTTCTTCTGTCTGTTCCACAGCAAAGCAACACAAATATACATGGATGTATGTAGGCTTGTGCCCACAGCAAAGCAACATAGATAATGCAAATAGACACACACACACACACACACACACACACACACACAAAGTACGATAGTATATAGGAGAACAAGTATGTGAAGAGAAAAGATGAGAACCTTCTTCACTTCTCAAGTCTGTTCTTCTCCCCCAAAAACAAACCAACGTGAGAATTAGATGTAAAAGGGTGTGATTTTTTATGTGGTTTGGTTTTTATATCATGCACTGAAAAGTCTCACAGAATACATCATTTAATGAAATACCTCAAAATCAGTAAGTTTTTTAATATCATCGTACTTTTCTAATCTTTTGAAAGTCCTAATTGAATACCACCAGACTTACATTGATAATTTTAAAATCCTAATTGAATACCATCATATTTTTATTGATTACTTAAAAATCATAATTGAATACCACTAGACTTTTAAGCTTCAAAAAAATCTATTAAAATCCTAATTCAATACACCCCCTTAAACAATAACATTTTTCTTTCCAAAACACCTTAATTTTAATAAACGGTAGCTTTGTTGAACGAATATTTAACCACATATTCTCCTTTAAAGTAAGTCAATCTATTCTTACACCTACGTATAAATCTCTTAATTTAGATATAGGGGATTTCACACGAACACACATTATCAAGGTGTTATGTTGGTTTAAACATGAGACCACTGATTTGCAAGTCAATGTCCTTTCTCACTAAGGATTGATCTATGTGTTTGGGCCAGAGTGGGATCTAGCCAAGTGCTAAATTTGGAGATGAAAAACATTAGTGTTAATTTTATTAGTCAAAATCAGGTTAATTAAAAATTGCCCACCCCTCATGGTTGAAATTAGCACACCGTAACTCTAAGATTTTATCTCTACAGCCACCCACACACATCAAACATCATGTTCTTCTATTACCTACTTGTTTGGGCCTGAAATCTGCGCGCTAGCCTGTAATGACCATTGGATTCACTTTCCAAAATGGTAATGGACTTAATTTACCAAAAATGGTGAATGACCTATACTATTCAACAAAAGGGATTAAATTAATTATTTGATCACTTTTGATAATTGAGAAATAAGTTACCACTAATGGTAATTGAATCCAAGAATCAAATTATTTGAATTAGTTTATCTCCAGCTCACAAATTTCTTAACTATTAAGGTATGTCAGAGTGACTCCTCACCATTGGTAGCTAGACTCCAAACGAATTTGATGACCATGAAAGCTAGAAAGTGGAGTCAGACTTGCTTTAGTTGGAAATCACAGGTATTTATTGTAAGATCGCCAGATTTCTGCTACTACCAGGATATTTGTATTTATGGAACCAACATTGGAAGAATCTGGGTATTATTGTTCACTTTAGTCCAGTGTTTTGCAAAAGGAATGATTAGGAGACATTCAGGAGCATTGATGAGCAAGGAGCCAAAAATCATCAAAGCGACTGGCTCACAAAAAAGCTAAGGAGCTAAAAAGAAAGGTTGTTGTGGAAGAGTCATCTCAAGATGATAAAGAGCTCAAAGAAATTATGAGGTATTACAAAGATTGTATGATTGAGAACAAAAAGTTGAAGGTTATATTTAAGGAAACCGCCACAATCCAAACTCTGGCGAGAAGGCGATGGGTCCAAAAGAAACAAGCCGATATTATCATGAAGAGTGTTTCCCGTTCGCTAAACTTTGAGGATAAAGTCTATCGTCCTCAACCCCCAGAAAATGATGATTTCTAGAATAGTTTAGTAGTTTATTTTATTTAAAGAATGTTGTAATTTGTTTATTTAAATTCCATTGTTCTTTGTTTTATTATTTTAAAAATGTTATGTTATAAAAAATATAGTTTTCCTTTTTCGTAAAGCCAAATACAATTACATTTATATTATAAATAACTTATAAATAAATTGGAAAGCTTTTAAGGTACAATGAAATTGAAGAAAACAAAATAATAGGTAAGTAAAAGCACAATAAATAATAAGTAAGAATGTGAGTTTGGTACAGTGAAGCACATCAAAGATGTTGTCCTAAAGCTTTTGTAGCCTCTCTATGTGCAGGTTCTGACAGTCTACAAGACTCCAAGATACGACCCCTTATACACAAAATCAAGATTCGCTATGAGCACGTTCATAGATGGATATAGGTATCCAAGTCACAGAACCATTGCCAAAATAATAATATAAAGTAGAGAATATATATAAAAATAGAAAATGAGAGAATTAGTTTGTGGTGGTGATTGTGGTATGTAATATTCAAATGGTGTATTGTGGTTGTTACAAATGTGAAGGAGGATTATAGGCATTCAAGAACATGTAACCTTCACCAACCCAAAAATTAAGGCATTTAATATAAAAATAAAACCTGAATATTAAATATTTATAACCCCCACAATAAATAAAATAAAATAGCCAAAATAATTAAATCAATGGTTAAATTTTTAAAACCTTTTTTTTTTTTTAATTCCAACATGTTCTAGTTTGTTTAACTTAATGAAATGATTGAATTAAAGGAAATTGCAATTTAGTTATTGAATTCTAAACACACAACTCTAAATTGCAAGGACATTGCAATTTAGTTATTGGATTATAAACACACAACACTAAATTTAAAAAGACAACAATTAGAGTTCTATTCCATATTGCTCCCACAAGTGTTGAATGATATCAAATCGGAGGTTGTAATGGGCAGTTGGATTATTTATTATGCTTCGATTAATAGATTCTATTTGTATATTATGTGATCCACGTTCATGTTGCACCAGAGCCTCCTCCACATGATATGGTGTGTCCTCAGCAGGAGTTATGTCGTCTTGGTCACGCTCATCTTCAATAATCATATTGGGAAGAATTATGCAAGTCTTCAGTACCTCCCAAATGTTTTCTTGGTACCATTGAAGGGCAGGCCTCGTGACAAATGCAAAACGAGCTTGAAGAATTCCAAAAGCTCTGTCCACATCCTTACGATACACCTTTTGCATCCTAGAGAATAATTGATGTTGTCGTCCTTGAGGATCCGAAAATGACTGGACAATTGTGTTCCACTTTGGATATATTCCATCTGCAAGATAGTACCCTTGCTTGTATTGTTTCCTATTCAGATAATATCGGACATGTGGAGCACGTCCTTGAATGACGTCATCAAAAAAGGGTACTTGTATAGTAAGTCGAGGTCATTAAATACTCCCGGTATTCTGAAGTTGGCGTGCCAAATCCATGTGTCGTAAGAAGCAATCGTTTTAAGGATTATGGGTGGATGACCATGGTAGCCCGTGTATGCCTCATGGTGTGACATTAGGCAGTTTTTTCACTCTCAATGCATGCAATCAAGGCTTCCTAGCATGCCAAGAAACCCTTGTTCCTCAGCTTTTTGGAGCAATTTTTGTAGGTTTGCTCTCTTTGGTTTATGAAGATATTCAGCTCCGTATAAGTGGTTGACTGCATGAAAAAAATCTCTTGCAAGCTTCAAATGATGTGGTCTCTGCTATCTTCAAGTAATCATCATTGATGTCAGCTACCGTACCATATGTAAGCATACTCAAGGCAGCTGTCATCTTCACTTGTGGTGAGAAACTAAGCTTTCCAATGGCATTAGGGTTTTGTTTGAAGTAATCATTGAAAGGGACAATTTGTTCTATTTATTCCATTACACAACTCACGCCTCATGCGAAACCTATTACAAAAATCTAACGAGGGATACAATGGATGGTTAGAGAAGTAATTTTGAAAAAGGTTTTCATGGGCACTTACTAGATCTCTTGGTATAGTAAGTCATCGTGATGATGTACCCCTGTGGACAACCATCAAGGCCTTCTCCTTCTTCTTTGCTGCTTTTTTCTTTTGGTAGCTTTCGAACATTTCCAAAAATATTATGTTAGCACCTGTCTCATCACTAGAAGAGCTATCATATCCATGGTTGGCCATTCTAGTGCGGTGGTAGAATAAGGAATATTGAGAATATAAGAGTTGGGAGGGGGTGTGTTATGAAAATAAGGTGGTTGTTCATTTATAAAAGATATGATAGTTTAAGAGATAACAAATATGCGGATGAGATTCATATGAGGTAATTGGATCCAAAGGTTATTGTAAGATGTAATATGAAGAGAAAAGATTTTTTATCTGAAGCCATAACAAATGGGACC